ATATTTATACCAGACAATGGAGTTTTACATTGAAAAACTACGATTTAATGTTTAGCATTTCACTTTGTCTTCATTTCTACGATTTTCTATTTTTCCTCTTGATTATGCAGTGTATTATTACAGTAACAACATCCCATTAATACGAAATAGTATCATTTTCTCTCAGAAAGTTTAAAAGACGGGAAATATAATTTTGAACAATAGCTCAAAAATATTACATTTCACACTTAGTGAATTCTAGTTTCTCCCAGCCGTGTTAAAGTTAACAAGTCAAATCCCAAAAAAAATTACAGAATTCCTACCAAGAAAACTTCTCCCTATTACTACCGCGTTATTAGAGAATGTCTGGACCACTTATACTCGACGCAGGAAAGACCAACTTCTACAACGACACCAAAATCACTCCGATCGAACCAACCCTGCGCCCAGCGGTCACGACCGAACATTTGAAACATTGAAAGTACCTACCCTATAGATTGTAAGATTCTACATGATTCTACATTTCTACACTATCGATTCCTTGATAACAGAATTGAAAAAGCTTTGTAATAAGCCTTGTTCTGTCATAAGAACTGTTCAATATGACCACCGTTTTTTGTAATACATAAAATCATAATACGCAAAATTAAAATGCAATTATGATCAACTTTAACGCCCACTAGCTGTTAAACAAAACAACTAGATAGAGGCAAGTCTAATTAAATCTGCTTATTTTGATTGCAGGAAGCTGTGGTAGCTCTATGTACGTGGGGCATTGGTACACCCTGTATAAAAGTTGCAAATATCGCATCAATTTCGACTGTACATAAAAATCAAGCAAGCAAAAGCAGTTATTAAAAAAAAAAGGCGAAATCGGAGCTTATACTTCATAAACGCATTTCCAACGAGTAAATAATGTTATATATTGCAGTTGACAGTTAGTAATAGTTAATAAACACAAACTGGCGTATCGATGGCAATGCTGTCCATTATAATGAGTAGTTTGTGACACTTATGTGCATTTCACCGAGGATGGTGGGACAACTGGCTTCTTTCAGACTTTCTTTAGCGGGCTTTATGGCTGTTTGATTTCCCTGCAGTATCAATTTGCCCATTCGTTCGTGTTTGAGGTTTATTAATGATCGGATAAGATGTACGCAAACTGCGTGGGTTAGTTTATTAAATTCTTATTCGGACCGATAGTGGATGAACAATTCTGTGCAAGTTTGTGTTTAAATATTTGTTTTGGTGTGTAGTGTATGGACATTATGATTCGAAACGCTATTCGTACACTTATTGGTGAGTGCTGATGGTTTTGGGAGGCGCGCTCCAAATTTCTTTTTTGCTACTATCTACAATAGGGAGGCCCAAAAAAACGATAGATTTTTTTTGCGTGTCTCTTGTGAAAATATGTTAGTTCATCATGTTTTAAGAGCCCCCTCAAAAAACCAGCTCAAAAAATTTTTTAGAGGTCGTTCAAAATTTTTAAAAAATTTCCAAATTCGTCAAAAATTTAATTTTTATTTTATTTTTTTTTCTCGTTATTTTATCATTTTCTAGGTTGAAAAATTTCTCGTTTCTGAAAATTTCGAATCGATATTTTAATTTCTAAAGGTCACTCATAATTATTTTAACTTTCAAAGTAGTGATTCACTATATTTTGACCCCCCTTTAATTTTTTTGTTTTAAGAGTTTTAAAAAAATGTGAAATATAGAAGTTGCACGATTTTTTATGAATTTCTCGAAAATAATAGTAGAAAAACAAATGGAGTCCAAACAAAATGTCCGCGGATGTTAACTTTGTTAAGTTAAATGGAACACCCTATATATGTTTACATATTTGGATAGAACATTCCCTGTTGAACATAGTCATGTAGAGTTTGTTGAGTCCATCTTTAAGAATAAGCGAGATAATATTAAAAAACGAAAAGAAGGTTTTTTATTAAGGAAATAAGACATCTTGTAATTGTTAGACCTATTTCAGGCATTTCTGCATTGTTTCGAATTACGTAAGGATTTACAGATTTAGTTAAAATATATTTTGATATATCGGACATTGATGCGGTCCAAAATGCGTATAGGTAATGTAACGAAATCTCACTAATTAGGCCGTGAGGGGCCTAATTACTCATGGACATTATATGGTAGGTCGTGACAGTGACAGGTAGTGAGGTCTTGACAACATTGTTATTGATTGACAGTTTGTGTTATTATTTAATTACAATAGGTTAGGTTATAACTTTACATGACTATGCTCAACAAGGAACGTTCTATCCAAATAGGTAAAAATATACAGGGTGTTCCATTTAACTTAACCAAGTTAACATCCGCGGCCATTTTGTTTGGAGTTCATTTGTTTTTCTACTGTCATTTTTGAAAAATTAATAAAGACTCGTGCAACTTTTATATATCACATTTCTTTATAAGTCTCAAAACAAAAAAGTTAAAGGGGGGGGGTCAAAATATAGTGAATCACCCTGTACCTAAAATGTTTTCGAGCGACCTCTAAAAATAAACATCAACGAACTAATATTTTTTTATTGAATTTGATGAACAAAAGAATAGAAATAAATCGCGAGAAAAGAAAATCAATTTTGACGATTTCGGAAATTTTTTAAAATTTTGAGTGGCCTCTAAAAAAATTTTTTTTGAGTTGATTTTTTGAGGGGGCTCTTAAAACATGATAAATTGTGAGAATATGTTAGATTCTCACAAGAGACTCGAAAAAAATATATTAGTTTTTTTTTTGGGCCACACTAATACACACATATAACTATCGATTGACCCTTAAATTTCAGAATTTTTCTAATCCAACTCTGAATAACATTTGTCGTAATTTCTTTTTTGTTTTACACAAATTGTATAAAAAAACTACGCGCAATTTCTCTATTTAAAAACTGTTAGATATTAAGGTTTCATTAAATTCAAGTGAACAAATTTATTTACCATGGTTATTATGTAAATTTCTGATTGCATTTCTCTGTTGATAACTTTTATAAGTGATTTCACAATCTAAAAATCGTGTTGATTCAGTAAATAGAAAGAAACTGAAAGAAGGTGAAAATAGAACAGCTTTCCTTATAGTGAAATTCTGCAGATGGCATTTTGGTAGTAGAGCAACACATGATTTGCTTACAAATTTTGTTTTTTGAAATTTAACTTATATACAATAGATATGTACATTAAAATCGATATTTATAATATCATGTACATAGTTATCTGAAAAATACATAAACAGAGAATAGAAGATCTATAAGTCTAAATCTTAACTGAGGCTGTCAGAGACAGTCGCAATTCAATGGCGCGCCAAGCGAGTCAACCGAGACATGCGTTAGCCGCTGTCTCAGAATGCTTTTCAGGTTCACGTCACTTTAGTATACTGTTGTTTATTTTTCCGATCTAAAAACCTTAATGCACCAATACTAAGACTGTTTTTTATGTCATTTAGAATATGTCTAAAATGCTAATGTCAGATTTTGCGCTACAAATTAATAAAAAAAGTTATAAAAATAAGCGTTCAGAAGTGTTTCAGTATTAGGGTATAGGGTGTTCATATTTATTGAAAATATAGTTTATTTCAAGTTTTTCTTTAAGTTTGTGGTAGTTAGATAGTGAAATATCGATACACCCTGTATGTTAATGTCAAAAAAAAATAAAAATAATACATATTCTGAGAATATATGAGAATAAAATCTTTACAAAACAAACTACGAGTAATATTATTAAATGAATAAATATTCTATTTATAAGCAAGATAAGTTCGCTAATTTGTGCATTGAATTAAACTTTCCTTGACCGATAAGGTCTCGTATATAAAAACGGTGTTCTACATCGCAATCAAGGCATTGATAAAAATACCTACCTGCAACTGTGACATATATCGATAACAGGTAGCGGTTGCTATGTATTCCACTTGTGTCGAGCACTGTTGAAAAAAGTTTACGTGCTTGAAGTGCCACATTCTTTCTCACCGGAGCAATATAATTTAAATATAAACCGACACAGGTACACCGCGGCGGAATGGAACAAAATACTTGCATGTACGTAAAAGCTATTTATTTTTCTTATTATTCGGAATCGTTTAGTATATATCTCTCAAATCGAAACTCACGCAAATTTATGAAAATGAGGGCTTGTACTGATTAGGAGGAAAAATTAGAAACCACTATAAGATATGAATTTTTATCAAAATGGTGAATATCGACCGGTACATGTCTGGTGGTTCAGCTAACAAATGACGCTTACTAGATATTGTGGATATAATTCAATGCAGGTCGGGACATGTAGTTATTTCTCGCAATATCGTCTGTTAAAAAAGTCCCACATATGATTGCATTTTTAAATTTTCTGAATATAAGGCTTGTTAAGCTTGTTGCATCCTTGAAATATAAAAACAAGATATGGTTCTTACCATTCATCAAGCACTAAGAAAGATATACTTTGCATAATTTGCTTTATTAAAACTTAAAACAGAATTTTTGCTGGTGGCTTAATGCCTTCTCTTACCTTTTATCTGTTTTTAAAAATTAGCTTCCAAAACCTGTTTCATTTTGTACTTCTGCGCATATTTCGATATTTCCACAACCACTAAAGCACTTTCCCTTATTTTGTTTGGGACAACATATTTTTAGTGCCCACTTCTGATTTGTGAAAACCACACGTTGTTATCATGTTTAGTTACGGAGATACTTGATATTTTTGAGAATTTCATGATATCGTTTCTTTTTTTTCAAAAAAAAACTCAACTAACTGCTAAACGTTGTGAAAAACCCAAGATTTATTTGCACAAGTGGGACTTCAATTGAAACATGCAATAAAACACAGGTTGTTTCACAATTTGGATTCATTCCTACTGAAGTTCAGTATCAATGGAATCGACAATATTCAATGGGAATGCAGATCTGCACTTTTCAATTTAGAAACAAATGGAATATCCTTCATATTTTCCCTTAATTAAAAGATTTCTCAATATAAACGCAGATGTAGTTATGTTAATACTAAACGGTCTTATTCATTTCCAGAATCTCCAAGGAAATATGTGGAAAACGAGGTGACAATCCACTACAAGACGCCAATCCGTCAAGAGGTAAAAGAGTATCTCAGCGAAGACGAGCTGGCTTACCGTCAGGCCGAGGTTATGAAGAAAATCTACCAAGAAGAAAGGCGAAAGAAATATCTTCAGGTTAGCAAGTCACTTCAAGTAAGTTTTAGTCTGTAGGATTTAAGTCTGTGCAGTGTGGCTGTCAAGCTGCTTTCAATTAACGCTAGCAGCTAACTTTGTTCCTTGTAATGGACGGTATGTATACTAGGAGTTTTCCAAAAGATTTCCATTCTTTTATATTTTTTTTACAAAGACATTAAGTCATAAGATGTTGAATTGCTTGGAAATATATAATGCTGCTTGTAGCTTTTATTTTTAAGTTCGAACATCGATGTAGAAGTAATATAACCGCATATAACCCAAAAAATTATATTTTTAATACACTTGAATTTACACAATGTTATTTTAAATTTCGTGGCTGAAAACATACATAGGTATTGTATTTTTGAAACCGAGAGTTGCACGAAACTAAATTTGTACAGGACATAGCTAATACGATGCGAAACATCGCTTCAATGTTAAAAATGTTGTGGTGAAAATTCGAAATATATGTAAATAAATATATATGTGGATGTATATTCATCCAGTTTGGACTGGAAGTATTAACAGTTGCATAAAGCATAACGTATTTTGTGCTACAGAGGAATGTTGATGAAACATACCTACTTACAAAGTTTCATAAGAGAATTGGTTATTGACCTTGTTTTGTTCAAAATATCAATAAATATAATTTATAAATAAAAATTAATAAATACCTGCGTGATATATTTACAGTCTTTTATTAAAATGTAATTCTTCTTTCTTTAAAAGTATACTTAATAGAAACGCTTTTTATTACATTTACGTTCTTACATAGTTGGTAAGGGAGCCAGAAATACAGGGTGATTCAGAACTTATCCAAAAAAATTTGGGAATAGATGCGGCATGAGAAATGAAGTCAATATCGTAAATTTTTTTTTTTTAAATCCTTAGTTTCCGAGAAAAAAATTATTGAAGTTATAGTACATTCAACGACTACATAGCTGGACAACTGTAGTCTCTAGCGTCATTTGCAATGCGCGTGGAGAGCCACGTGGCCTCAGCGACTCCGAATACTGAAATCGTAGTTTGCAATCGTCGTTGCAACAGTATTTACCTGTTATCTGTGGTGTTTACAATATTTTTTTAGTAGTTAGTGTCAAAAATGGGTAGTTAGTGTCAAAAATGGTTTGCGTGTATAGCAACTCGGAGTTGATGGATATCGTTTTAATTTATGGT